CTACATCATGAACATGAGGTTCAGGTTATAAAATTGCTCATTTAGATAGGCAATATAGGATTGTGGTTTAAATAGAGTATGGTATGGGAAGTCACACAAAATAGATTTGAATCCTGGCTCTTAAATTTACTATCTAGATAATCTTGTGTAAGTTGCTTCACTCTTCTGGGCCTCAGTTTTCTCTTCTATAAAATGGGGATTAAGTAATATAATACATATATGGTACCCAACACACAGTAAGCACTTAGAGAGGATAATTATTAGTAGAGTTCAAGAGATTAAATGTTCAGTTAGAGCTATGTTTTTAATAATTTAAAGGGTTTCTTTATATCTTGTTGGAAAAGGGGTTAGGGTATTAACAAGTATTAATTTTCTTATTTTCTAAATCATGTGGTTGATGGAATTATATGGTTCTAAGGCCTGATCAAAAGTCACCTAGGGAACAGAGTCCAGGGTTTACCTTAGATGTAAAGAATCAAAATCTCTGGAGTGTGGAGCCTAGGAATCTTTTTATAAAAATCTCACTTGATTTCGAAGACTATCTGAGTTTGAGAATTACCGAGGCAGAACCATTTACAGGCAATAGTGTACTGAATGAAACCACGGGTATGTTGGGGAATATTAAAGGAAAGGGTATAAATGATATTATATGTGTGAGGCTTTGTAAACTATCAAGCACTAAAAATGAAGGGTACTGTTATGCAAAGAAGCATGATCATGGACTGTTGGTGCTAGAAAGATCTTAGGAAACTGAGGTCCAGAGAGGTGAATGTAAGTTGTTTTTCAAGTTAGGTAGCAAAGGAGGCAAAACACATTTGGTGTTACGGAAGTGCCAAATGGATGTCAGAGACATAAAATGTATAGCTTGGGAGGAGAGGTTACTGTGACCTGGGAAGGTCAGGAAAGACTTCTTAGGGAAATGGAAATTGAGCTGGGTCCTAAGGATGATTAAGATTCATATTAGTCTAACAGGGGAAGAGGGAACCAAGCAAGCTGCAGAGGGAAGAATGCAAAGGCCAGGTTTGTGAGGGTGTGAGTTAGACCTGTGAGGCTGGAGCAGAAGACTCATGTGGAAGAGTGGTGGGGAGAGAATGGCGGTTGGAGAAAACTTGTGGAGGACCTCGAATCCTAAACTAAGGAGCTGAAACTATATCGTAGGCAGAGGGGATCCAAAGAAGGGTTCTGAGTAGTATATAAATGGTTGGAAGGCGAGAGTTTAAAAGTTGTGCCTTTGAGTCCAAAGGGCCTACAGACAGAGGCTAAAAGCAGGAATATTCTAGTCATAAGGCAATAAAGATCTTACCAAGTGGGAATGGAGAAAAACAGATGCTATAGGAGGAACTGACGTTCATGGGAACTTTGTGGTGATCAAAGGAGAGAGAAGAAGAAACCACGGTGAGCCTGGGGGACTGGGAGTATACTACTACTACTGACAGAAATAGGAGGCCAGGGGAGAAGAAAAGGAGGTTGGGTAGAAGATAGACAGCAGCATTGTCACAGTGCTCTATGGGGAAACTTGATACACCACTCACCTTCATGTCTTCAAAATCTGTTATCCCTATCTGAGGGAGGTTTGAGCAGTTTACATGAATGAGTTTTCGGCCACTGATGAAGTTTGTGATAAAACACTCCTGTCAGTACAATGAGAACATCACTCAAAAGATGTACAACAAATGGAAAGAATGAAGGAAGGGAAGAAGAGAGGGAGGGAGGAAGAGGAAAAGGGGGGAAGGTAGGAGGAGATAGAGAGAGAGAGAGATGGAGAAGGGAGGGAGGAAGGGAGGGAGGAAAGGAGGAGAGAAGAAAGGTAAGGAATAAATCATGTTTGTCTCCCATTATACACTGAGAAATTTTTTTTTAAAATATATATTTTATTGATTTTTTACAGAGAGGAAGGGAGAGAGATAGAGAGTTAGAAACATCGATCAGCTGCCTCCTGCACATCTCCCACTGGGGAGGTGCCCGCAACCCAGGTACATGCCCTTGACCGGAATTGAACCTGGGACCTTTCAGTCCGCAGGCCGATGCTCTATCCACTGAGCCAAACTGGTTTCGGCAACTGAGAAAATTTTAAGTGTAAATTTACCCTACCAGACTGCTGTACCAATTTTTCAGTAATTTCTGAATCTGCTGCTATACCACTGTACTTAATTTTCGGTACTTTGCCTAGACCTATTTTCTACAATGTCTCCAAGTTCCATCTTATTCTAACCACTTGTTTGCATGTAACTAACATTTTTCTATAGCATGTTGATTTTTTCTCTTTAATGCTCAGGAGCCCAGGTATAGGGGACAGTTAGGTTCAGGGCCTCAGGTCTGGTATGGTTTAGTAATAATCCTAATAATCCCACATATTTTCCATCTAAATTTTTGATAAAATTTCATACTCCTTAATTTTTTTTGGCATGATACAACCAGTAGTTCTTTCATGCCTCAATTACATTAAGTACAGGGTTACATAAGATTCTAGATCTTGTATGGTTTTATTGTAGCCTAAGAACATAGTTGGCATCAATGAAATGAGGATTCACTCTATCTTTTAGATAAAACTAATTTTGATTAATTGGCTATTTAAATTAGTACTGCTAGGTGCTCATGATATATATAACATATTTGGGATACTTAAGATCAATAATACAAGTTCAAGTTAGGGAGCTAAAATAACTTCACAAAGAACCAAAACGTCTACCTTGAGTGAAGTCTATTAAAAAATACAATTTTTCTATCAAAAGAGGCCTGTATAAATTTCTTAGTCTTTATTCAAGGATTGCAGAGAAATAAAGTAACTGTAATGAATAGAAAAAATCATACAAATGTGACTCTCCCTTCCTGTCCCAAAATATACATCAGTGGAAAGGCCAAAATTAAAATTCAAGTTATCGCTACCATAGTCCAGGACATTTCTATAATCCTTCTAGTAAGGCAGAGGCAAGAACTCAGGTAAGGTAGAGGAATGAGAGGTAGACAGATGAGAGTATGATTTCAAAAAATGTTATTTTTGTATACCTTGTATTGAGGGAAGCCTAATTCACTAATCCACTCTGCAACTTTTTCTGGGCTCCAGTTAAGATACTCAAATTGTAGCTCAGTCCTTTCATTTTGCTGGGTTTCTTTTTCATCCTCCAGCATTTGGAACAAATCTAAAACTTCTTCACTCAAGGACTCACTTAAATCCCTCTGCGAGTCTGAGGAATATAAGTCCTTACTGGTAAGCTCATACTCTATTAGGTGTTCTTTTGAAAAATCATCATCGATATTTACTGACTCTACTTCTCTTACTGTGAAAGAGCTTATGTCTTTAGTAAGTTTTTTAGTTCCTTTTACTAATGACTTTAGATATTCAGACTCCTCCAGATCATCTTCATCTACAAAATGCTTAAAACTGGTTGGTTTTGGCTTATCTTCCTTGGTAAATTTATCATGTGTCTCTCGTCCAAATAGTGGTTTGGCTTTATCTGGTAACTCTAAATCTTTATCCTTAGTTGGCTCTCTTTGTGTCTTCTTTTGAAGCTTTGATTTGGTGTTCTGTAGTGGCAACTGAGGAGTTGATTTACTTGGGGTTTCTGATTCTTTCTTTAGAAACCATGGTGTAGTCTGTTCTGGAGGCTCTAGACCTTTCTTTTCAGTTGACTCACTCGGTATATCCTTTGATTTGAACTTCGGTGGTGGTGCTAGTCCTATCTCAATTGATTTTCTTTGCTTATTTTTTATAACTGTTGGTTCAGTATCTTCTGGTGGTTCAAGAACTTTCTCCAAAGTTGACTTCCTTTGTGTCTCCTCTTGAATTTCTGGTTTGGTCTTTTCTGTTGACTCCAGACCTGTTTTCTCAATTAGTGTTCTTGATTTTTCCTCAGGAAACTCTGATTTTATCTCTTCTAGTGGCTCTGGAACCTTCCCCTCAGTTAACTTCCTTTGTGTCTCAGTAGACTCAATTGGTTTCTGGTCTGGAAACTCTGGTTTAGTCTGCTCAGTCCCTTTTTCCTTAGGTGGTTTTCTTCCTGTGTCCTCTGCAACCTCTGGCTTAGTCTCTTCTGGAGGCTTTAGACCTGCCTCCTTAGTAGACTTTATTGGTTTCTCTTCTGTAAACTCTAGTTTGGTCAGCTCAGATGGTTCTGAGCTTTTCTCCTCAGATGACTTTCTTTGTGTCTCTTCTGGAAATTCTGGAGTGGTCATCTCTGGTGACTGTAGATCTCTATCTTCAATTACTTTTCTTGGTTTCTCACTTGGAAATTCAGGTTTGATCTGTTCTGAAGGTTCTTCATTTTGCTCTCTAAGCAATTGCTCTGGAACCCCTAGTTTGGTCTCCTCTAGTAACTCTACTCTTGTCTCACTGATTATGGCTTGGGGAACCTCAGACTCTGTTTCCTTTGGGAGCTCTAGATTTGTTTCCTGAGCTGACTCTATGAACACACCTTCTGTAACATCTGGTTTGGTCTCCTCTGCTGGCTTTAGATCTGGCTGCTCCTGTTTTTCATCCATAGGGACCTCCAAATCCTTGAAAAGCTCTCTTCTCATCTCTCTGGATGTCTCCAACATTACCTCTTGGGAGATCCCTATCTCAGTCCCGTTAGAAAGACCTATCTCTGACTCCTTGAGAATCTCTTCCTCTGATATCTTGGTTGATTTTAGGTGTGGGTGTATAGTCTCGGCACTTTCTGGCGTCCGGTCTTTCAACTTCTCTTCCTTCGTCTCTGGCTGTGGTTCTTGGTGGATCTCTTCAAGTAGCTTCAGGGCTGTCTTTGCTGTGATGTCTGGTTCAGCATCTTCATCTATTTTAGGAGGCCTAGGTTGTTTTGGTCTCTCAAACTCCAGGTCTTCATTTTCATCCGGGCCAGAATCATAATCTTCTGGGACTTCAGCCATGGCGCAGATTAGCCAATGCGCCCAGGCCTCCTAGCAACCCCAACTTCCGATAACGTCTCTATGGATACTATGACTTCCGGCCGGGTCTTCCCGGGTCTTCCCCAGGTTTTGTTTGTTCTCACAGTCCCGGACTTTAAAAACCTGCCATCAAAAGCACGCCGTAATCCTCCCCACGTCCGCGTTGCCGGCCCCCTCTGGCCAGAGCTCCCGCGACCGCTCGGGGCGGGCGCGCTGCCCCTTCCGGCCTCGGGCTCCGCTCGGCTCTTCCCGGCGCGTCGCGGCCGCGGGCGCTCTGCCTTCGGCTCTTTCCGGAGCCACTCGGGCGGCGGAGGCACTGGCGGCGGCTGCAGATGTCGGACTCCCGAGCGGCTGAGGGGCCGGGCTTCTGGGGCGCCGCAGCGGGTCGAGAGCCGGCGGGCGGCATCGGGGACGTCCCGGGAGTGGAGGGGAGCCAGGCGGCCGCCTCAGGTACGCAAGGCCGGGGAGCCGGCGGGTGGGCGCCGCCCGGCCTCAGGGCCCGCACCTCGGCTCCGGGCTCGGCCGCGCTCTGCCCCCCTGGGCAGCCCCTTCGCGCGTGGAGCCCCAGCCTTGGCTTCTGTTGGGGCCACGCTTTTGGGGGCCGCGACCGCCGACCCCGCCACCCTCTCCCCGGCGGTGGTCTGCGCTAGAGGTTATTTTCTACTCCTGTTTCGAAATGTCTTGGTTCCTGCCCCGCTTCCTTTCTCCGATCAGCCCGGATGGTGCTGACAGGGCTGCTCCGTCCGGCATCTCTTCAGCTTCTGCACACCCGCCGCCGAGCGCTCCTTGGCCGCGGACCCCAGCTCCCCTGGCCTCGCTGTCCCCAGGCCTGGCTCCCCACCCGGTCCCACCGCTGTACCCCGCCTTTCCACGCGCCTCTTTGCCCCCACCCGGGTAGGCAGCCTCGTCTTCCGTGCAGAATCCCGCTTGGCTCTGGCCTCCCTGCCCGAGGGCCCCCGCCTCGCCTCCATCCTCTCCATCGCTAGTGGGCAGGATGAAAGGAGAATTGGAATAGGTTAGCTCGGGGAGGGGGGGTGGGGTGGGCGTCGGGGGTCTTTGGAATGAACGTAGGGACCAGGAAATAGGGGCTGAAATAGGAACTTGGGCGACCTCCCTCATGCTCCAGGACCCTCACCATCTTGTTCGGGGGACCTGTCTCGATTTCTAACCACACAAGTTCCTCCGTGTGAATTATTTGGGAGTCCAAAGGCAAAACGGCCCATCTATGCCCAACCTAACCGGTTTGGCTCAGTGGATAGAGCGTCGGCCTGCGGACTGAAAGGTCCCAGGTTTGATTCCGGTCAAGGACATGGACCTTGGTTGCGGGCACATCCCCAGTGGGGGGTGTGCAGAAGGCAGCTGATTGACGTTTCTGACTCTCTATCTCTCTCCCTTCCTCTCTGTAAAAAAAAATCAATAAAATATATTTTTAAAAACAAAACAAAAAAAAACCAAAAAGAAACAGCGGTCCATCTATCACATTTTTACCCGTCCGGCCTGTGTGATCACCACACAGTTCACAACTGAAAGGATGCGCTTTTGAAATGCAGAAGGATAGGGAGAGAGAACTGGTCTCACCAAGTAGCAAGTAGAAATGAACTTTACAGGTCTGAAATGAAAATAGACACCTTCGTATAGCGGGAGCGGTGGTGCCACGGTGCCTGGGCTGGAATCTGACTTTCCCAGTTACAAATGAAGTGACCTTGAGTAAGTCACTTCTGTCTGTCTCAGGTTCCTCCTCTGTCAACGGGGGTCCCTGCCTCATAAGATTGCTGAGTTACATGAGCTACTGTGCACAAGGCACTTGCTGCCTCGCCCAGCGCACAGCATGTGTGTTGTCCATTATTATGAGACTAAGATCTGGTTTTGCTCATCTAAACTCCGTGGGCTGGCAGAAGTGTCCCTGTCTGCGTGTGTCCCAGCATGGTGACTTTTCCTGTCTTTCACTTCTGTCCCCAGTAGCTCCCATCTCCTAAAGCTGCTTGGGTCAAACACACACATATCTTTGAGTCACCTAGCTTTCCCCCACGACTTGATGTTCTGTCCTCTTGCTTTTAAACAGGTAACAGTTTTTGTTTTGTTTTTCCTTCTTACGAACGCCATGCCTTCTAGTAAATTCAAAACTGACGGCATGTATTTAACTTGATAGCAGTAGAAATGTGAAGCACCATTTCTGAAAGATTAAGCAAAGAAACACCCAGAAAGTCTCGTAAACATCTGTCCCTTGCATGTGTCAACATTTATAAAATAAGGATTTTTTTTTTTTACTTCCCCTTGACATTCATGTGTGGTTATGGCAAACACACCCAAGCATTTAAAATAGAAAGGTCTTGGCTGCCAGAGTGTCCCAGTAGGTTGAGCATTGTCCTGTGCACCGAAGGGTTCAATTCCTGGTCAGGCCACATATTTAGATTGTGGTTGGATCCCTGGTTGGGGCATGTGTGAAGGGCAACTGATTGATTTTGATGTTCTCTCTCCCTCTCTCTAAGCAGGTGAGGATTAAAATAATAAAATAAAATAAAATAATAAAATTAAATGAAGTAGAAAGGTCTTAAGTATAGTTCAAGGCCCTGGCCAGGTAGCTCAGTTGGTTAGAGTGTCCTCCTGATTCACCAAGGTTCGATCTCCCATCAGGGCACATGCAAGAAGCAACTAATTCATTCTCTCTCTTTCTTTCTCTCTCTCCCCCCCCTCCCTCCCTCCCTCCTTCCTGTCTCCTTTCCTCTCTCTCTAAAAAAAAAAAAAAAAAAAGAATTGTTCAAGATATATTGGAGGATAATGGGTTTGTTTTTGAACCCCGCTATATCCCCAATTGATTCCTGCATTCACTTTTTCCTCCCAGGACACTGACAGAAATACTTAGGGTTACTTTCTCCCTCTTGCCCTTAAAAAGGGTGAGTGTTGATTTCTTTTTATTTCATGTAGGAACTTGTTAATGTATCCCAGAGCAGCATTTTCTCCTTAGGGTATGATTTGTTGCTAATAAAATAGCTAATAAAATAATAGTAATGATAGCTTATATTGCTTGCTTTGTGCCAGAATGTGGAAAAAGATTTACTTGTATTATCTGACTTCCTGTCAGCAATCATTTTCTCTGAGAGATGAATTTATTGCCCAAGTTACCTGTGGAGTTTTTACTGACCTTTTGAAATTGCCACCTTGTTATGATGAAATTTACAATAGCATATTATAATTTTTATCGGCCAAAAATCAAGTATTAGTACTCCAGGGCAGGTATGGTGTTTGCTCTCAAGGTGGTTTTATTTTGGTAAGATGAGAATACCTACCTACAGGAACAAAAACAAAAAAATTCAAAACATATAAGTGGATGTCTTTTATTACAGTTCTTGATGTACTTACCCCGCTTCCCCACCCCCAAAGAAACCTGTTTGAGGGACAGACTCTATCTTGTGTATCTCCTAGAGCCCTTAATGTTGTGTCGTAGAGGTTCTGAAAATATTTGCTGGATTGTGAGACAAAGTCTCAACACAGATTTGGAGGAGCATCAAGTGATTAGGAGGAATTAGGGTTGAGATATACAGGAACGTTCTTTGGGTGAAAGCAGTGGTTCTCAATCAGGAGTGATTTTGCCTCCCCCAGGGACTTTTTAGTTGTCACAACTCTGGGCTGGGAGGAGGAGGAGGGCTGTTGCTCACATCTAGTGGGGTAGAGGCCAGAGATGCTGGCAAACATCTTGTGATGCACAGGACCGCCCCAAAGCACAGTTATCTGGCCCCAAATATCGGTAGTGCTACTACTGAGAAACCTTGAATTAGAGTTAAGCTGGGTTTGCAAAGCATTATGGAAATTATGCATTTGGCTTGGCTCAGAGTTGCATAGACTTGGGGTAACTCAATAAACTGCTTCAAATTAGGAATTTGATTGGATCCTTCTACCACCTTCCTTTGGAAAATGATCCATGAGTAAGCAATAGAGACCTAAGAAAGAATGAAATTGAAGGAGGTTTCTGTCATCCTTCCTTAGAAGGAAAACAGTAATAAGAAATGAGATTGGGCCCTGGCTTATTTGGCTCAGTGGTTAGAATGTAGGCCCATGGACCAAAGGGTCTTGGGTTGCATTCTTGGTCAAGGGCACATACCTGGGGTGCAGGTTCGATCCTCGGCCCTGGCCTAGGTGCACGTGGGAGGCAATTGATGGATGTGTCTCTCTGAAATTGATCTCTCTCCCCCCCCCTCCCTTCCACTCTCTCTAAAAAAATCAATGGAAAAAATATCCTTGGATGAGGATTAACAACAACAAAAAAGAGGTTGGACATTGCAATTTTTATTGAATTAAGGGTGTTGATTTTCCATGTACATTCCTTCAAAAGCAGGATTTGTAATCAGGATAATAACTTGTTTTTAAAAAATATTCTCTGCAGAGAATACCTTTTGAAGGTCTTTGTGTTTGTTAGCTGAGGTTTTTGTGATAAAGAAGGAAAAGTGTTTTCATGTTCTTCTAGTCTAACACTATGATCTCTCCAGTGGTCGTGTGTTCTTATTGTTTATGAACTGTAATTGTCTTTTAAGAGTCTTTTATTTGGGGCACCTGGGTCCTTCAGTCCCTAGGAGGAGAAAGATATCACTCTTTATGAGTGAAACTCTCTGAGGCATACATACTGTATCACTTAGAGCAGGCTTTTTTTTTTTTTTTTACCAATAGAGAGCTTTGGGAAAAATAAAGAGCAAAGTCTGTTATGACCCTAGAATCAACAATAGACTTGGTTTGGTGTATATGACCTGAGAGCTATCAATGCATTTAGACATTAAGGACTAGAAACAGGTCAGGTAAACTTGTTCATGGTTCAGTGCAGTAAGTCTTTCTGCATTGATGAAAGTGTTGCATTTTTGTGGATATTTCAATTTAAATTTTAAATTTAAAAATTGGTAGGTACCATATTGGATGGAACAAAAGAACAGAAGTCTATGCCAAAGAGTCCTCTGTTACAGTTTTATGTCAAAATGCCCTACAAATTTGTTTGCCTGTGGGTTATTTTTTTTTTCTTACAGCGGTTGAGTTTTTATGGTATTGAGATAGCCAATTTGTCCTGTCATAATTCAATCCATAATATACAACCTAAGATATATAATCCAGCCAGTCAGGAGCATGTCCCATACATAAGGACTGAGGAGAAATTGGATTACATGGTCTCTGGATTTGGTTGGAATATAAATTTAGCCAATTTCTTTTTGTTTGAACTTCTCAAGTCTGTAACCACATAACCTGCTTTTGGTTGCTCTGCTCTTAAATGTAAAAGCCCAGGCTAATTATCCCTTTGCAGCCTGTTTAGTGAAAGGGAAGTCCTATGAGACCTGTTCTAAAGAACTCTGACCTGATATTCAAATACTTTAGAAAACCTACTTTTTGGTTCTCTTTGCAGAGGAAGTATAAGTGCAAAGTAAATTTAAATCTGTAGCATGATCAGAATGCCTTAAACCATACTCTAGTAA